CTGACGGCCGTCTGCGTTGTCGACTTTACCGCTGCGTCCGTGACATAAATTGAGGCCGGCTAGAGCGGGCATGATCACAGTCGTATCAAATGCTAGAAGGCGTGGTGCCGACGGAGCGACAATGTATGCCAATGCAATACGCACCCGTTTCACTGATGAATAAGCGATAAGCTCCCGCAAGGTTTAGGATAATGGCAGTTCATGGTGGCAGCCAATCGACCTAGGCGACGGGGCGACACTGTACCGAGGCAAATAGAACGACTGCACACAAACCGGGAAATTGATTGGTCCCACGCATACCTCTGATTCCAAAGCATCCATTTCAGGCTCAGAAAGAAGCCAAGCTTAATATGACATCTAGTCCGAAAAAACCAACGAAGAGAAAGGATTCGCTTGACGAAAACAGCGTCGCAAAGAACACAAAAGCAGCGGTAGTATAAAGGCCTCCCAACCTCCTCCCCATGAAACGTGAAACACCACGGAGGCTAGCAAGTAAGCTTCGCTTAGGCTTTCGGCTTGTTTGCCGGTACTCGGAGATGTTCTCTGTGCGTGTGTGTACATCTACTGGGGTTAGGTAAAACTTGGGAAAACCATTAGCTCTGAGAAGGGGACGACTCAGATCGCTGAGACAATACTTTTATTCGCCTGACGTTTCGATATCTGTCGCGGATTCGTCATCAGAGACATAGTCAGAGAGCAATAGCAGATAGGGTCAGGGTCGAAACGTCAGGCGAATAAAAGTATTGTCTCAGCGATCGAGTCGTCTTCTTCTCAATTACTTCCTAGGACTCGCATGTTCTCTTGTATTGGCAGCCATTAGCTCTGTTGGCGACGCGCAGAAACTACGAGAAGCCCTTTATAAAGTGACTATGTGGTACAGCAAGTGGCTCTTGACATTTAATATCTCCAAATGTGTAGTCCTACGTTTGATATGCGGGCGGAAAGGTCTTTCCAAACATCAGGACTGTAGGAACGGGACTCCACTAAAAGAACAGGTCACGCACAAAGACCTAGGGAGTTGGACAGCTGTAAACCTACTGCCCTCTATGCACTCTAAAAGGGCCGTCCAAAGGGCGACGAACAGGCGTGCTTTCGTCATGGTTCCACCCAAACTGTTTGCGCGGACCTTCAGTACTTGCGATACACTGTATTTAGAATACCAACATAGATGTCGTGGATGAAAAGAGACAATGATCCCAAATAACCAGATGCAATACTAGGTCAAAAAGCTAGTGAACGGTTTTAGCAATCTATCTTATCCTGAAAGACTGTTTTAACTTAAATTCTTTCCCATATCTTATAAACAAATGAGGTGGGACCTGCTATGGACATTCCGTATTACACACCTTCACTGAAATCCGAAGACTTCTCTGAGTTTGCAAGCCTGACTTATCTGAGTGGCCATCCGTACAAGGTTAAGCGTGAATGTACACGGCTAGATCCACACAACTTTTCCTTTAGTCAGCAGGTGGTTCGACCGTGGAACAACCTTCCCCCCAAACGAAATAGTGACGTCGGATACCGTTGTTGTGTTCAAACGGCAGATTGATTACTTACCTTTTGATAACCGACGACTCTCAACCTCCCCTGACTATCTCCAAACGGTCATGACCCTTACTTCATGATTTCAATTTACATTTATCGCACGGCTACATATTTGCTGTAAAAATGATCCTGTAAATCGAACACTTCACGCTGTGTGTATGTGCGTACCATGGCATTTTTAACTCGACTGCACATGAAAGGGGTCACAAAGAGTGAACGCCCGCAGCCCGTAAAATATCGTACTTTCCGGACCATATGGCGCACTTAATTTTCTCAAAAAACGACGGTGCGCCTTATAACCCGGAGCACCTTATCTATCGATTAATTCTGGCTACTGACCTCGAGGCCATTTTGTGTGGTACACGACGCTGCGTTAATCCGTAGTCAGGAGCATCGTGGGGTGATACATACTCTGCTTGATCATAATATTACCATGTTTATGAACCCCAAATTGCACCTGTCAAGAGACACGCGTACGACGCGGACTTCAAACACAAACTTATAAGTCAGGAATGAAGTGGCTACGAGAGACTTCAACATTAATGAATCAATAATACGGAGGAAGTAAGAAGATGATCTACGCCATTACCGCTTGAGTAAGGTTGAGAGTTATTGTGACTGCGTTCAACTAGGGTTGACTGACTGACTTACCTGACTGTTTTGTTTCCCTTAAGACGCCGTAAAATCCGGTGCGTGTTATATAAGAACACATTATAATCCAGTGCACCACATAGAACGGAAAATACGATATACGATATAAACAATGACTTGATTTAAGAGGAGGAGGGGGAGGAGGGAGATATGGATGAGAAAAAGACCTCCTACTGTATTTAATTCCCCCCTTCTCCTCCACCTCCCCTGACAACATCGGGTCGACAGAGCTAGCATATGGCCAACAAAACGGTACATCACCAGAAATGGTTAGCCATATGTTAGCTCCTGTCGACCTGATGTTATCAGGGCCCATGTGCTACAGTAAAGTGCTAAATAAGTCACAAAGAGGGAATATAACGGGAGCACAAAGTAGTGGAAAGCAAATGGGCGAAACTCACGCCTCCAGTTCGGCCTTTAATTTCTGCATGTCCTGTTTGGTCATGGTGCCTTCACTCTTGCCCAGACGCTGGAGTTTGGCGCGCGAGGCATCGAAGTCGGGTCTTGGCGGCGCGGGTGGCACCTGTTCAGGCGAAAAGAAATGCAGCAAATCTAGAAAAGGCGCGACACCACTTACTATACCAGAAATCTCATACAAACGCATTTGAAGGGACAGGAATAAATTTGTGGCATCAGCTGTTACAAGTTCTTCAACAAATGGATAGGTCCCCTTAAAGGCGAAGGGTCAGGTAAAACTTCTTGAGAGATGAAGGTTCGTGCAGAGAAAGCGATGCGGGAGGATTGGGTATAGCAACTGTTTGTCGATCAGGAACCGAAGTGCACTTAGGCTGCTAGCCAGACCATCCTGGTTTGGCTCAGACATCAGCTTACACACTAAGCTAGTAATATACAGAGCATCCATCAGACCGGTGTCAGTATATGCCTACGAAACATGGCTAGCCAAAAAGGCAGGCATTCCATCGCTCGAATTCTCCGAACGTTGGCGTCTTCGAAGCTTCTTGAGAGTCTCCTGGGAGGATCGATTTTCCAAAGTTGAGTTATATCGCAGGTGTTCACAACTATCAAGCCTAGCATCATACATCCAGCATCGTCGAGTACAAGCATTTGGCCATGTCCTGCGCAAATCATCGACAGACCTCTGCAGATTGATCCTGAACCCCGCTCATACTGCAAACTGAAGAAACCGACATGGCGGTCGACTGAAAACATGGCTGAACACCGTCAAGTCGGACGCCGAACGAAGGGGCCTCGTAACTGTTTATGGCTGGAACAAACACTATATTGACACCTGCGATGAGCTCGCTTCCGATCGCCGCCAATGGGCAGTCACTGTCCGTGACGTAAGTGAAGCCGAGTCACCCAACAACATGAGCTAATCGGATCAAGTACAAGTAAGATCTGGTTCATTTCTGGAAGAAAATTCACTCAGGAAGAAGGAAAGGTTAAGCATAAATAGGCGAGTGGGGAGGAGGAAGAGTACGTCTACAGAACACCATGCAGATAAAGGTTTCTTGCTGGCAACGTGAGGTGTTTCGTTGTTACACCAATTGCTAATGATAACTTCAGCTTAATAAGGCTAAGAGCGTGTTTCATGGCGTCAGTGTAAATGATGGCGTAAGTAATACTCTCTACCAGCAAAGACCAGCAAATCTCAGGGGTTCGACCCACTCACCTTTTCACGGGCGAAGACCGGATACTGACTGTCAAAGGCCGAACTGCGCACTATTTTTGACGGGTGTTCCGATAAACTGGCTACCTATGCAACTTCGTCAACATTTGCTTAAGCAAACGAGACAAACGACGAAATCGCACCCACCGCAAATATTGGTGAGCGATTCCGTACCCCAAAAACTACCGAAGGCCAACGGCCGTTTTCCTGTATCACTTGAGGTTGCAGTCCCATAAAAGCCCGAAGCCTCCACTAGGCGTCGGGCAATGAAACCAAAAGACATAATGTCACAATCAGAAACGCCTGTTGCACTTGCGGACAGACAACAACCACGTTAAAAAAAACTAGAAGACTTCTCAAGACGCGAATTGCTGAACACGAGGCAGCAATGCGGAGAAATGACGCCAATTGTCAATTTGGGGCTCATTCGACGACACTCGGCTACACCG